CTGCTTTTCAAAACGTCACTGACCCAGAATAAAAAAGCTATCAAAAAAAAAAAAGAGTATAATTTTCTTTACTTTGGGCTAAAATTCACTGAGCCAAAAAAAAGGATCTAAGAGAAAAAAAAATAAGAACCTGCTAATCTGAAAACACCTGAATCTATCACATTTCACCCTATGTTTTAAAGCTGATCTTCAGAACAACTCTTTAGGGAGAAATAACACATAGAAGCAGCATGTCACGTAGGCTAGCTGAAAATCAATACACACTGCTGGACAATGGCTGTTTTATCCAGTAATGAGCTATCAACATGTGCTACAAACCAAACTAATCATTAAGGGCTGAAGCATGGGGATATGGCAGGGACCATGGCAGTGCTGAACTCTCCCAGGAGGAAGAGGAGGGGAGGGCAGGAGCACTGTCAGCCATGGTTTTACTCTCAGCTTTTGCTTAACAGTGATACAGAAAACCCAGACTTAAAATTAATCTCCCTTCTTCTGTTGCCTTTTGTGCTTCCCTTCCCAAGGCTGGAGATGGCAGCTCACAGGAAAGCAGAGCCTCTTCCCTCAGCAGGGAGCTGGGGGAAGCAAACTGCAGCAGAGCAGATATACCCTGTCTGTCCATGCTCATCAAACAACACCACCAAACAGCAGAGGTTTTCTTCTACTGCAAGGACCACTGCATTGCTGCCAGTGAAACTTTTGCAGCTGTGTGGCTTTTTTCTTTAAAAAAAAATAATTACATTTTAAACAGTTACTTGAAATTAATGAGTGCAAGCCTACCTGTCATCCTCCCATCTCTGTTCCACTAGACGGAATTACCTCTTGTGTATGATATTTTTATATCCTTCTCTCACCATCCAGGTCAGCTGAGGCTACATCTACAGTGGCAAGCAGTAGAGCTCAACAGGAACAGATCAGCAGATCAAAAGAGCTGGTGTTCAGAATGCAGTGTACACACCACATGTGCAGGGAAGAAAGGTTGTCTTGGACTAGCTCTAGCCTGAATGCCCACAGCCAGCCAGGCTGTAACTTCTTGGAGCATTTATTTCAGTTTCATTCAAAATAACCATTTCTACTCTCCCTGGTGGCTCAGGAGAATGAACCAAAGCATGGTCAGCAGGTATAACTGGGAGAGCTTCTTCAAGTCAGCAGTGCTGATACAAACTAGAACATCAAGCAGGTACATGCTGTAAATGACAGAACTATCAGAAGAACTGTTAAGTACTTGCCAACCTAGGGAGAGGGTGAGAAACTCAGCCATGCACCCTTTATATAGTTCCTTCCCTTCCACCCAGCAACAGTTTCATTTTCTGCAGATGAGTTACTTCCAGCATTTATGTTCTGCAACATGGTGTTAAGTAATTAAAAACAAACAGTATTTTTTGTCAAGGTTAAGTAGTTTATCTAAAGCCCAATGAAGGTGGTGAAAAAGTTTCTACAGGGATGTCTCTTTTCTAATCCAAATATTGTATAAATACTAATTACTACTACTATGTCTGTGCAGCAAGTGGCAACTTTCCTTTCTGCACTATTCCTTTCTACCTCCTTTTCCTTTTGAAAGCAAAATTACCCAATTTAACAAAAGTGCTTCCAACTCAGGAAGCCTGTTCACACTGAGTTTTGCCCTCCCAGTGCTGTTAAACACTT